AAAACATATTTCCGGTTATAAAACTATATATATAAAATTTTTTTTTTTTTTATAGCCATCCAATTGCATTATTTTTTCACCTTTTCTTTCGTGGATTAGCAATAATCATATATCTTTTTGGAACTTATTTTGTCGATAATTTCCCATTAATATTTATTCTTTGCGTATTATGTTTATCATTTGATTTTTGGACAGTTAAAAATGTAACTGGTAGATTGTTGGTAGGATTAAGATGGTGGAATGATATTCAAGAGGATGGATCAAACATGTGGATGTTTGAAAGTCGTGATGTAGGAAAACAAAATATTATTATGATGAGTTTTGTGTGAATATATAGCATATTTGATTAATTATATACATAATATTTATTTGTTTAGCCATCAAGACCAGTTAATCCAACGGATTCTCGTATATTTTGGATTTCACTTTATGCAACAATAGTGATATGGATATTTTTTGGATTTTTTGCATTATTAAAACAATGGTTCTTAATTGTACTAGTAGCATTATCATTAAATATAGCAAATGCAATTGGCTATACTCAATGTGACAAAGATGCAAAAAAGAAATGGGCAAGTAATTTGGCATCTAGGGCAGCATCAGAAAGTCCAAGTCTTGTAGGAAGATTATTCACTGCAGGCATAGGAAAATATTTTGGATAAAGAAGATAATAATAACAATAATAATTAATTAATTAAAACTTGTATATTATTGTCATTAAAATTGTATCAAAATTTTTAATAAATCATTAATCATTCATTATTATTATTTTTATGTAGTTATAATATATTTTTTTTTTAATATAATAGAAGAGGGAAAGAACAATCAATTCAACCAAATAATTTAATAATAATATTTTATTTTTCACTTATAAATAAATTATAATACGATTCTAAATAATTTAAGATTTCAATATTATTATTATACAACAAACTTTGATTATTATGAATATAATCTAAAATATTTGTTAAAATATATAAATTGTTGTTCTTCTTGTTATCATTTTGGTCATTGACAATTATATTTGGTAAATAGTAAATAATCTGAGAAAGTAATTGTCCAGATAATTAATTAGTAAAAAATACTCTTGACCAATCACCACTCAAAGTTACTCAAACAAGAGTTCAATTATGATTTGAAATACTTACAATTGATTCTAATGATTCAATAAAATTTGTTTCTGAATATTTTAAGATTCCTAATATTAAGTATAGTAATAATGAATTGTTTTCAAATAAATTTTTGTGTTGACTCATTAATTTAATTATTAATGAAATGTCTCTTGCTGAATTTAATAAATAATCTAAAAAAAAATAATATTTTTACTATTTATATAATTATTATTCATCAATTGATTTCCATTATTATTGACAGTTGACTCACACCTCTTATTACTATAATAATATCGGTTAACATAATAATTAGACTAATTGGGGCATACTGCAACAAAACCAGACAAAGTGAACATTTGTATTACCAATGATTTCAGGGATCAAAATTTAGCCATCAATATAATGTCCCATTTGTTTGTTATCTTTGTTTTCTTTTTTGTGGTATATAAATCATTCAAAGAGATAGTTGACTAATGATTTTAAATATTATAATAATTTTAAACAAGAAAAATAAAACTATTATTCTCATTTCTTTTTTGTATTTCTTGTTGGTGACCTCTTTGTTTTCTTATCTTTAGTGACTGAGTGAACTTGGGATACTGAAGACATTTTCACAATCATCATCATTATTGAATTAAAAAATTCACCAAACCCTAAGGGATTTAACAAAATACCTGTTAGATAGATCCTGATGTTTTAAATATTTTCAATGTGTAAAACAAAATTCATCCTGATGTTCCAAGCAGTTATTAAAGCAATTCTCAAATTATAATATGCTAAATATGTAAGCAGAAGATCAAATGATTTTAGCAAATGAAGTGATAAACTTCTTGTTTTTCCATCAAGTAAAGGGATATTGTTGTCATTTGAATCTGAATCTCAAATATCATTTGTTAATTAGAAAGCATGATGATCAGAAAAATTTTTCTATATAAAAAAATTTAATTGTACAAATTTGTATGATAGCCAGTTTAAGGGATAATCATTAATTGGGAGTTTTCTAGCAAAAGGGACCTTAAGTAAATTTAGTGTAACAAGTTTTTTTCATAGAATATTTTCTACAACATATATTTGATTTATTTGACTTATTTATTTCCATTTTTTTATTAATAAATAAAGGTTCTTTACAACAAAAAAGTTTAACGAACATATTACATTAAAAGAAAATCATTACCAAATTTGGTCATGAGATTCAAAATATTGCATAACTTTCAAATTTAAACAATCAATAAAAAAGAAAATTTGAGACAAATTTTTTTTTTAGATTAATAGACTCCTTTTTTAAAAGTTGGATTGAATGGTGGTGGGTTTTTTAAAATCCAATGTGTGGATCACATAACATCTCAAAAATTTTAACTTTTGAGTATAGATGATCTGCACTGTAATAGAAACATATCCTACTTTGATAGCTGAACAAATCTGGTTTGCCAATGTTTTCCAATGATCAAGTTTCATGTAGCTATTATCTAAAAATTCTATTGTATATCTTTTCAGGTTCATATAAAGATAAGGTAATATGATTACCAAATTCCTATCATTGTTATAATTTTCAACTAGATTTATTATAACATTTTTGTGGTTTAACACTTTTAAAGCATTAATTTCATTCTCATACACACCCCTACAAAAAGTATTGACTCACTTGATGACCCGTCAAAATAATTGAATAAATGGGTAATACAAATACTTGTTTTTTTACTAAGCAAATTGATGTTGTGTATTATTGATAAAATGTTTGTTGAAATGATTACCATAACATTCTAAAATATCACATTGGGCTAATTGTTATTGATAATTTTATGATTTTAAAAGTCAAATTAAAATTTTTTGAAAATT